AGCAGTCGGACATCCCCCGAGGGGTTCCGGATTTGAGAGGGTGCAGCTGGGCTGGAGGGACCCCCCCCCATGCACAAATTTCATGCACCGGGCCTCTATATACACACACACCCACACACACACACACACACACACACACATATGCCTAATATGCTAAGTGTCCGACCGAGTGGTCGACTGACTGGTTGCTATGACATGCACTGACCACCAGGGGGCAGATGCTCCAACCAGTAGGTTAGCTTGCTGCTGGGGTCCGGCCGATCGGGACTAGGTGAGATGGGGCACCCTGGAGCTCTCCTGCGGTCCTTCCTGCGGTTCCTTCCCAGCCACCGGCCCTGGCCCCGATTGCTGGCCAGATGGAGGGATCCCACCTGTCCATGAATTCGTGCACTGGGCTTCTAGTCAACTAATAAATGCTTACTGTAGGAGATGTGCAAAAAAACAAAACAAAACAAAAAAACAAACCTAATTTGGAAGGTTTTACAGCTAAACACTTGAATATTATGCTTTCTTCAGCCAAATGCTAAGGACTGCTGCTGCTCCCAAACCCCAAAAGGCCTCTCTAGCACAGGCACCATGATAGGATGCCACTGACACGCACCAGGTCAGAAATCAGCTAAGCACACCTTGTGAATGCCAGGCCAACCACAAAAAGAAGCAAGCCATCTCTGCCCACATTTCTCTTTGCCAGTCACAGTGGAGTGCCTGCTCCCCCTATTCTCTACTAACTCACAGCTCAGCTGGTACTTGATTGCACCTGGGTGCTTTGGCAAGAGCAGGGCATGGATTAGGTCCCAGAAGAACTGGTCTCCTGAACAGGTACCACAACCTCAGATAACACAGGGTCAAGGTAAGAACTTACTTACTAGAACCTGGGTAAAAGGCAAGTACTTCATTTCAGAGAACATGAAAGGGATTTATTACTAGAACTAGAGCTAAAAGATCAAAACAAGGTGACTAGATGCAAAATAGTCATGATAAGTGCCTGGGGCTCCTGAAATTGCATATAGCTAAGAACAGGATTTTTTCCCCAACACCTGGGTAAGCAGAAAGCCTACACACAATGCTGAGAGATTCTTACCCAACTAAATGGACTAAAGGTATTCATACCCAAGACCTTCTATCTCCAAGCCTCCTGTAATGGGTTGAATTGTGTCCACCATAAAAATATGTTCAAGTTTGGCTGGTGTGGTTCAGTGGTTGAGCATCGACCTATGAACCAGGAGGTCACGGTTCGATTCCCTGTCAGGGCACAGCCCCAGGTTGTGGGCTTGGTCCCCAGTAGGGGGCATGCAGGAGGCAGCCGATCAATGATTCTCTCTCATCATTGATGTTTCTAGCTCTCTCACCCTCTCCTTTCCTCTCTGGCATCAATAAAAATAAATTTTTTTAAAAATATGTTCAAGTCCTAACTGATGGTACTGTGAACGTGATCTTATTTGAAAATAGTCTTTGCAGATTTAATTAAGATATAAATTAAGATGAGGCCATATTTTATTAGCAATCGCTGGTGTCCTTATAAAAAGAGACACAGAGATACAGACAGACATGGAGGGAAGACAACCATGTGAAGACAGGCAGAATGGAGTGATGCAGCTAAAAGGAAACACCAGAGCTTGCTGGCAACCACCAGAAGCTAGGAAGAGGCAAGGAAGGAATCTTCTCTAAAGCCTTCAGAGGGATCATGGCCTGCCAGCCCCTCTCAGACTTCAAGCCTTCAGAACTGTGAGCAGCTCAATTTCTGTTGCTTTAAGGTGCCCAGTTTGTGATGATGTGCTATAGCACTCCTAGGAAATAGTACACCTCTTACTGAGCAGTTCTAAGAAATCTCAGGGAATCTGCCACTCACCACTTATGCAAGTTACTCATCTTTCTAAAACTCTATTCAATTCAGCTAAGCAAACATTGATTCACTGCATACTCAGCACCCGTCACTGCTCATTATGTGTTTGCACGTTCTTCACAATGGCAAAAAGACACACCAGCCCCTGACCCCATGATGCTTTCAGTCTAGAGAGGAAAAGCCTGGAGGATGAACAAAATTTTAAGCAATAAAGAGGATCACTTTATGTCCTTTCAGTGTCATTCTGGGTCATTATTTATCAAGCCTGCAAGGATTGTTTGATTCCCTTGGGAAAAGTACCTTTGTTTGATTTTCCTATTTGCTCTTTGATTAGAGCCCCAAAATTACGAAGTTACATATTAATTTTTATATTTCTGTCCAATAGAAAAAAATCATACCAAGGGTTATAATTTTATTGTTTATAGGACATTGACTATCTTTAAAATTTTTTTCCTGGCATGCTACATAATTCCCTTTTCCTTAAATGCTTTTGGAAACCAATTTTGTTATGTTACTAGTTCCTTCATTCAATATTGAGCTTAATATATTTTGGCACATATGCATTCTATTTTTATATGAAAATCATGTTTTTAACTTTTTTAAATTGTGCTTTGACATGGAACAGTTGTAATGTTTAAATGATATCCTATAAAAAGGATGGATATAGTTCCTGGGAGACGATGGTGTTAAAGGAGTGTAGGCTCTCCCTTAGCAACTGAGATTCAGGAGAACCAGCCTCTTAGGGACTCTCTCCACTGCCCAGGGACCAAAACAACTGTGCTGTGTGATCATTCTTCTCTGTATTCTCTTCCCCCTCCTCATCCTTCGTATTCTTGTGTGTTACTAACATAGACATGTCTCTGGAACATAGCTTTGTTTAAAGTTACAGGGCAAATATATGCTAGTTCCAGAATTGGTAAATTTGAAGACAAATCTTGGCAATCTTGCAGTGCAAACGTAGCAAAATCCAAGCAAGATTTCTGCAAGTTAAGTTTCCTTTTTTAATGTAGGAACCATGCTCTTGATTTCTAAGAAACTCAGAAACTGTAAATACTTTTAAGGCCCTAGCAGGTTTTGCTCAGTGGATAGAGCGTCGGCCTGTGGTTGCGGGCTTGATCCTCAGTAGGGAGCGTGCAGGAGGAAGCCCATCAATGATTCTCATCATTGATGTTTCTATCACTCTCCCCTCTCCCTTCCTCTCTGAAATAATTCTACATAATAAAAGGCTAATATTCAAATAGAACGAAAGGCAGAACAACAGGAACAACTAAACAACTGGTCACTATGACATGTGCTGACCACCAAGGGGCGTAGGCGGAACATGGCAGGCATCGGCCGCAGCAGGATGGTGGAGCAGGTGAGCGGGGGTGCCAGACCAAGGCAGGGCACCGGTTGCTGTCATGGGGCAAGCCTCTGGTGGTTACTACAAAATCTTTGCTCCCGCATGCCACGGTCCCGTCAGATGTTCGCACCTGCTGCCAGTGCCAGCGCCACTCACATCCGCTGCCAGTGCCAGAGCCGCTGCTCGCACTCACTGCTGGTGCCCAGTGCCAGTCCCGATCGCTTGGTGCCATCAGTGGGTGCGAGCGGCAGCTACCGGCCCTGATGGCCCCTGAGGGCTACTCCACCTCCCCCTGCTCCTGAGGGGCAATCCGGACAGCAGCTGCCGCTCACACCTACTGACGGCGCTGGCCCCAATCACTTCGCACCTTCAGCAGGTGCGAGCGGGGGCCGGTACCATCAGCACGTGGGAGCGGCAGTGGCAGCAGCAGGGCTTCCAGCAAGGTGACCAGCAGGGGGCTGCAGCA